GTAAATAAATACTGAAAACTATAGAAAAATCTTTTCAATCTAGTTATGAAGTAAATAATGTATCATAGTGTTAATTCAAAAAAAAAAGTAAAGTACTGAATTTTATGCATCATAATAATATGAGACATACATAAGAGAACTAGAAACAAATAATTTGAGGATGAAAATGTTTTCTCTTTGACTGATTGTTTTTTTTTGTCAGTAAATCTTGTATTTCTTCTATCATTAACAAGAGAGACAATATTTAAGAATTTATTTTGTTTAATTTTTATTTTCTAGCTCAATGTTATGTTTGGATAATAGAAATATGCATTGAGTTTATCTAATGATATTTCAATGCTTAACTGCTAGAAGTAACTCGCATTTGCTACTGTGAAGAAACTCAATGATACACTTGTTTTATATTATTCATTTAGTAAAACTATAGAAAAGCAAAAAGCTCCGACTTTGACATTAAATAGAAGATGAGGTTGCATACATTTCAAAAAAAAATCAATTGTTTGATCAGATTTCTCAACAAAGATCTATATAAAAGAAGAGTAGCATAATCATTTTGGTACATTGAATCTATCAATTCTCTATCCTTTGCCATAGGAGCAATAGATGATAACGAATATGAAATACTTGTAGTTCTAGAAACTATGAAACTATTCATTTCTTCCTCAAATAAAACTATCAAACAGCAGATGTTAGACAAAGTAGGACATATTAGGTACGAGAATTTCTCGAGTTGAACCTGATTGTTTCATTCTTGTGTGGGTCTGGAGTTGAGTGGTACTCTTGAATCTCTTAATGTACTTTTAAAAAATTTATAAAATATCATCATATCCATCAAAAAGTTTTTTCTCGATTTGGACCCGATGGACCCTAAAGACAAGAATGACAAATTCACTTATCATATTCTTTACATCGTGTGAAATTAAAGATTTCAAATGTTCATTCATATATTTCGAACACAGTTCAACAGAACAAAAGAAAATAAATATATTTATAAATACATCAACGACATCATTGATATGGTAAGAAACTGATCTTATCAAATTAAGGTTCAACTGTACAAAATTAGGTTTTCTTGTTTCTTCATCTAATTATAGAAATACATGTAATTATCTGGAATATATTTTGGAAATGGTAAAAGATCAATATTTGTTTACAGTCAATATCTCTTACTTTCAAGTGTTTATTTGATAGCAAAATATATCAAATACTGAATATCACGAAGAATAAAACGAGTATTACTATGCGAATACTCGTTTGTATTGTCACTATCATAGTAGTTCTATTAGTTAAAATAGTGTGAGCGTTTCTAACAAATGATGTTTCATTTAAAGATAGATATTGACTATATAAACGAACATTTAGATATTATTTATTAACAATATCTATAAACTAAGCTCGTTCAATTCACTACAAAAATAGAATACAACACTTGATGCCAGACAAATCTGTCCAAAGTAACAAAATAAAACAAAAACAAAATATAAGTAAAGTATTTATCCATCAAATGTCATGACCACAATGATTACTTCATAAGACACTCGAAAATCATGTTTACCTTGTATCTTGCGACGTTCGATGATGTACGAAATAAATTCAAACATGCAGACTATTATATACAAAATCAATTCGTCTTGTATGAATCAGATTACAATCAAAACAGGGAACGGACATTTTCCTATTTCATGCTAATAACTACAGGTGAAAAACAATGAGAAGAAAAAAGAAAGAGATTTATAAAACAAGTAATTAGTCATGTGACAGAATAAGAGATAAAACATGACATGATTTGTCTGTAATGATACAAAAAATGAAGAAAGAAAAAGAGAAGAAAATGAAATCACCTATGTACAGTGTGTGTGTATGTCGAATCAAATCGTTTGCTTGATGCACGAAAAACACTATTTGATTTGTTTTTTTTTTCAAGTCAAGCATAAAATTCGAGCATATTTAGTCGAAAACAGAGCAATCGATCTCTTAATGAAGGTGATAAATTCAATCTATTAATTTCAAATCTTGCTTTTTAACAATCGACTATGTGGTAAATTCAATCACAATACAAGAAGAAATTCGTGTACTTTGTAAACTTCAAAAAAAAAAGGAAAAAAGATCAAATGAAAATATTGAAGGAGATTTATATTTGAGAAAAAATAAACTTTGGCATCAATATGAAATAAGTTAAGCAGATAGCAAAAGATAGTTCGAATTAATTGTAAATTATGAAGATACTAGATTTTTATCCAGTCCAATTTTTTCACCTAATTTTGCTTTTTCTTGTATCTTCTTGTAGTTGTAAGGAGGACATTGAATTATAATATCTCATTAGCAAAAGACTAGGATAACCAATTCAATCGATATGTTTCAGTCTATATAAATGAGAAAATCTAATAGTTATTAATGTAAATCAAACCAAAAATAATTTAATTTATAAGACGTTTTTTTTTTTAATCAAGTCCTACCTTTGAAAATGATCGATATCATTTCTTTGTCTATCGTATAATCAAGATTTAGACTTATAAATTAACTCCAAGCGTTTATATATTTTCAATTAATTTCAACATATTATTTAACAAGATAACAGTTTAAACAATCAATTAATATGATGTAAATTAATCGATGAATTAGACAGGGATAAAAATGCCTATAAATGGTAAATATGATAATGATGTAAAACGATCATAAATAATACTAAAAATTGCTTTACATGTGAGGCATTAAAATATACGTCATTTAACGCGATAACATGGCTATTTTTCTACTCAGTACTTCTTTCTCGATTTCAAATCGTAATTTTGTAGAATGATATTGTTTAAACAATTATTCAGACTATTACACAATAGACAGTAGTAAGCATTTAAAATTATTTTTCTTTTTCTCTTATGAAAATTTAACAATTCTCAAATTAAGTTTACTTTATTTCACAATATCCTTTTTTTTTTTTTATTAATAAACTCATTTTTGAATACATTAATTTTTTCATGAAGTTTTTGTCTTCGTATATAAATATTATTTACATAACGATATAAAGTTTCTTTTTCATAGAAGATCTTTTTTAAATTTATAAGTTCATTTGTTTTATGAACAAATTTTTTTTTTAATAAAAATAATTTTGATATATTATTAAATTTATCTGGTGCACTTATCATAAATATATGCCAATAATGTATATGATTAAAATTTTTTTTCATTTCTAATCTAAGTTGATTTTGAAAATTAGTACATCGATTTGAAGTACTTTGTGAATTAAGATATTCATTATGTTCGAGAGATTTAAATGAAATTAATTGTTGTAATTGTTGATTATATGATTGTAAATAACAATAATATTTATGTAAAATATTAAGATCTGATTTTGATTGTTCGATTATTTTATCTAAAGAATGACAAAAATCAAACGGATGATGATATTAAACTAACGCGGTTGGACGAAAAAGTTCAGCTTTCTCTCTAATACTTTTATGGTCTATAAATTATTGTATGAAAATTACATCTACTCTACAAATGAAATATAAACTGTTTTTTTTTTTAAATATTGTTTCAATAGTACAAGATGTGATAAGAATATCTATCACTTCAGCAGCTGGTAAAAGATCATATTTAGCAATAAAAAACAATTGAGACAATTCTCTGAAATATTCTGAAGAATATATTCCTAAGTCTTTTGTGTGCATTATTAATATAACGAGATTTGGATGAGATTGTTGAAATAGTAATTTAGAACATTATTTTTGATAGGTATTTTGTCTCTTGTCGTTGTTTGCATGAAAGATAAATATTGGTAAAAAGAGCATTATCTTTTTTGTTTGTTTTATTCGTTAGTTCAGTCTATAATTCTAGGAAAGATGAGTCATAACAAACATAATTCTACATTGAATTAATAAAAACAAAAACTACATATGCGTTAAGATAGATTGAAAACATTTCGAAAATCGAGTCTGCTTAAGCCAAAATCTTGACTTTGCTACTGTTACATTGCAAGATGTGAATCTTTTTAAATACACAAAATAATGAGGAATAAATTCCATTGAACTCGAACACTAAACTAAATCGATGATAGAAAATAGATAATTAAAAGAAATGAAATCAAATATAAAATATCGATTTTTGTTTCGAGCTTTAATGGAAATCCCAAAATAAATTTAAACTATGTAAAATTTTTAATATATCTATTCAGTATATTCTCTGAATTATGGAAAGCATAATTTAATTATCTTATTATCTATACTTTGTTTAAGATGTTGTGTAGTAAGATGTTTTATTGTTTTATATAATGGTTCTAATTGATTATTTCGTATTGCTTGTCTATGTCCAAGTAATTGTACTACAAAAGTTAAATTTTCATATTGATATTTTAATAATTTATTTTCATTTTCCGTATAATAAAATATTTCTTTCAATATTTGATAATTATATTCCGAATGTTTTAAATTTTTATTTAAAATTTTTATATTATCTTTTGATTTTTCTATTTGATGATAATATTGTTCTAATAATAAATTTTCTTGTATAAGACTATGATCATATTGTTTTGAATCTAATATTAATTTTTTAATAATTGTTTTATATTGATTAATTTTATCTTCATTTTGTTTTAAATTTAAATCAATTTGATTAGAATTTATTTCATTTTGTTTAACTTGTTTTTGATAATATGAAATTTCTTTTACTAATGGTTTTTCATCACCAATAATTTTATGTATTTTTTGTTTGAGTAATTTAACTTTAGTTTTACTTTCATTAACTTTTGTTTGTTGATCATTTAATTCTTCATGTATTGTTAATAAACTATTTTCAAGATCTTGTAATTCTTTTGTATGTAAATCAATTTTAACTTCATTATTATTTATTAGATGATTTTGTTGTTTTACTTGATTATTTAATTTATTTATTTCAATTTTTGTTATTTGTAAACGTTGTTCATTTGCTTGAACTATAGTTAAAGACAAAATTATCTATTTAAATGATTTAGACAAGTATCTAGTTATGAAAATATTTTGCAAAACAATCTATGAATTGACATGTTAAAATAGAAGATATTAGAAAACTAGTCCTATCAAAAGATTTTATTTGTCCGAAGTTTGAACTCGAAATTTAATCATTGATTGCAGCAATGATCGATGGAAGATCAAGATATTTTGTTGAAAGATTTACTAAAATAGTCATCCATCAAACGGAAATATTTACGAACACAAATCGTTTTACATCAAAGATGTCCGCGGCGATAACTTCTTTTACGAAGATGTTTCAGAAACTCATGAATTTTCACAGAATTTCGGTTATCATATATGTTATACTGTAAGATTTAACGAATTTTATTGATTAGCAGCAGTTCTAGTTAAAACTAGTCACACTCTTGAAAATTAAAACATTTTTATGAATATCATTGCAACGGTGACAAATTCTCAGCCACGATAGACATCTCTGTTTTAGATGTTCACTATTTTTGATAGATAGAATTCAGTTTAAATGTCTATCTTACAAAAAAAAGAACAACAGAATGAAGACTTTCTTACAAAGGTAATATTTTCCATTGATTAATGACTTCCTTTTAGAAAGTTACTGAATTGTAAGTCATCGATCATACTTATTCGGAATCGAATCAGAAAAATCCACGTAAGTCTTAGTGGCATATCCAGGATTTCTCGGTATGCTGGATTTCATCTTCAGAGCATGGGACCCAGATGAAACTTATAGAGATATGATATTGGGTCCAAATGATTAGTTTTTATCAAAAGATTTTTGTAATTGGAGTTTGCGAAAAAAATTAGCATTTTCCTGAGCCCTACCAAGATTTTTCTTCTTCTATCGGTAATACCTTGATTTTTAGAATTTCATAGTAAGCTACATCGAAATTCATCGACAGATTTCAAATTTCATTTAAAAATATGCATCCGTTCACGAGTTATAATGTTTTGGAAATTTGCTGCATGCTGCTAAAATTTTAGAAAAAATTCAAAACATTGTAACTCGCAAACGGATGTATATTTTTAGACAAAATTTGAAATCTGTCGATGAATTTCGATGTAGCTTACTATTAAATTCTAAAAATCAAGGTACTACCAATAGAAAAAGAAAAATCTTGGTGAGGCTCAGGAAAATGCTAATTTTTTTCGCAAACTCCCATTACAAAAATCTTTTGATAAAAACTCATCATTTGCACCCAATATCATATCTCTATAAGTTTCATCTGGGTCCCATTCTCTGAAGTTGAAATCCAGCATACCGAAAAATCCTGGATACGCCACTAGTAAGTCTTCATATGTTAGTTTTCCAATACTTTTTCATCTGATATCAATTTGAAGTTTTTCATACTGAAATAATGATGTATGTCGTATCGTATAAATTAGCATAGCTGTTGAAATTAGAAAATAGAAAAATTTTGTTCTTCTATAAAAATCAACATAGAAAGATCTAAGAAGATTTCTTATGATCATATTCGAAATTAGCATGATTCATAACGTACAATATTCTATCTTTCTATGAGAAGCGATTGATCAGTGAAAAAATTTTATATGTTCATCGATTCTATGAAAGAATATTCTCTATGTCTCTCGGTAATATTTACACTGAGCTATATTGAGAAAAAAAATAGAAAGATGACTGTTTTAAATAATAGAAAATCTTTTGAAACTTAAATAAGTACAAATAAGAATAGAATTAACTTGTTTTTTGTAAATTATTTGTAATATTTTGTTGTTTATTATGATTTTTAAATAATTTTCTATATGAATATTGTAAATTTAAAATAGAATGATTTGAATGAAAAATATTTTTTTCTAATAATTTTTTTTTTAAATTTGATTGTTTAATTATATCAATTAATTGTTGTTGTTTATTTAATATTTGATTTTTTTCTATTTCAAAAATATTAATATTTTGATAAAGTTCTTGACGATATTTAATAATATGTATTTGTTGATTTTTTAATTGTTTTAAATTTTGATTTTGTTGATCAATTATTTTTTCTAAATTTATTATTTGTTTTTCATAATTAATTCGTTTTAATATAATTAATGTTAAATTTTGTTTATATTTTTTTAAATTAATTTGATAAATAAATATTGTTTTATGATGTATTTCAATTTGTGTTTGTATATGAAAAATTAATTTTAATATATTATGAATTTCATTAATAAGATATTTATAATCATCAAATAAAATTTGAACATCTTTTATATTTAAAATTAAATTATTTATTCGTTTTGATGATTGTTCATAAATATAATCATTAATATATTGTTGATTATTTATTTTTAATTTTATTTCATTTATATTTTGTATTATTTGTAATATTGATGTACGAAAATTTTCAAGTAATAATTGAATTTCTTTCATTTTAATTAATAAATTACCATGTTCTTTTTCTAATAAATTTAAACATTTTGTTTGTTCATCTTTTTCGATTTGAATTAGATTAAGAAATTTTTCTAAATCTTCATTTAACAATTTATCAGTTATTGTAGTGCCTATTGCTATTTCTAAGATATGCCATAGACGTGAAGTATTTACTCGAAGAATCTTTATATGAAGAAAAAAAAATTTCAATAGATAATATGTTCGATCTTACAAAAAGTGAACGATTAAGACAGAAGTCTCTGACAGGAAAAATTCCTTTTAAGACGAGATTAGGCGCATTATGTAGACTCAAATAAACTATAAACACTTTGAAATAGGTTCCTGCCAATTAACTTATTGCTGTGAAAAAAACTACACTTTTACTGTAGTTTTTAAATGAATATCATGATCGCTCTTAGCGGAACGAGTTTTCGAATTTCGACATGACACTTTGCATAGAGATAGGATTTGATAAGCAGAAGTTTTCGATTTTTTCATTGTTTTTGCTTGTTTGAAAGGCTTATTCTTCTGAATAAAAATTCTTTTACTATAGATATATGTCAAAATGTTGATTCTTTCAGTAGACTAATATAGTTAGCTATATAAGTAAAACATCAGGATAGACTCTACCCAGGTCGAAGATTCCGGTCATCGGATCCCGCAGGAAAACATCGGAAGTCGCCGGAACAGGGTGGTAGTATTCCTGCCGGAACTCGCCCGTACTTTTCGACCTGGACTATAATACGAAGCGTTTTGAGCTGTTCATATGATTAAAGAGTATTTTTTTCTTCTTCTTTGTACATATGCACTTTGTCACATTTTTAATGCTAGATTTGTTTTTTACTGATAACTCTTGTAAACAAAGGTCTCATCTCTCTTGAGAAAACTTCTGACAATTGAGAATCTTCATTCCATATTTCAAGCTGAAATGTTTATTGTAAAATGTCTACCTCTAGAGATATATTTTCTCTGAGTGTCTCTGCAAAACTGAGTGGTCGAAAAAAAAAGTTTCGAAGATGGATGATCACCTGAATGATATGCCATGCATTTATTTCTTTATTTTTAACATCAACAAGTAATTTTTTTAAGTCTTGAAATTTAGTTTTAAATGTTGTTAATGTTACTTGATCAATTGCACGAAGTTCATTAGCATAATTAAGTTTCGTATAATTTATATCTAAATCTTTTTTTAAACGTTGAATTTCTTTAAGAAGAAATTCTTGTGAAAATTTCAATTGTTGATCTGAATATTTCGAAAAAAAAAAAACGACAATATTCCTATTTAGTTTTTTATTCTATAGATTATAAACAAACCAATTTGTTCAATTTCATTAACAAAATAACTTATATCAAAATTTTCAATTTGTTGAGAATTTATACGTAATTGATTTATTTGATTATGAAATTCTTCCATTTTGAATATATTTCTATAGATTCTAATACATATAATGAGATCATATAATAGGCGCGAAATAAAATATTTTTTTTTTTGTTTTTAGATTACAAAAAAAAAACAAATAAAGATCCTACAGTTTGATTAATATTCAATACCCATGAATTGTAAAGCATGAGTTAATGTCCAAAGAGGACCAATTAAAAGAAATTGTAGATCTTTAAAAAATGCTGGTTTTTTTCCTTCAATTTCATGTCCAATAAATTGTCCAATCCAAGCTAATATAAATATAATTAATGCTATACGAAATATTCGTACATTATTCTTCTCTAATAATATTAATAATATTATTATCATAAAAAATAAAATTGTCATTACTATAGCCATCGAAGATGAAAGATTCCAATAGAAAGCAAGTATAGGTATAACTATAAGTGTAGGATTCAATAAACCAATTTGACTAATTGATATTGTATTACGAATATTTTTTGGTATTATTGGCAAACACCAAAGCATAGCAATAACAGTTACTGTTATTGTTGGTACACATATTTTATGTATGAGAATATTAATTGGATGTTGATGAGATAAAGCATATTCATCAAGCCATGCTGTTAATTCTTTACTAGGCATTTCTAGAATAAATGAAAAGAAAAATTAAAATCTATTCATTTATTTTCGAATCTTAATATTTTAGATTTTATTTGGTTTTTTTTCCATCCTTTTCTTTAAATATAATAAAATAATAATGAAAGAATCAATTCAAGTTTATCTGACAAAAAAAAAAAATAGCATATCAAAAAACTGTCCATAGATTATTCATGTCGATGTTTACCACGTTTTGCTTTTAGTCTATTCCTAGAAAATAAAATAAAAAATTTATTGTAATTTTTATTATAATAAAAGGATTAATATGTACAGAAACTTCATGTGATTCGTACTGAACAAAAAACCCGGTGGCAATAAAACGTTGAGAGTAATGATAATTCTATCATAAGAATTCATCGATTTAAAATGAAGAAAAAAAAAAAACGTATGCGGATACGATTTCGAATAAGATTCAAAAAAACTCATGTCCGTAATGAAATTAAAGCATAAGATAGTAAATTGTCTATTGCCGGAAAAATTCAGAAGAGATTTTGAAACTAGACATGTGCGAGGAGGCACGAAAAAGAGAAGTTATTGAAACTAGTGACGTAACCAGGATTTTCCAGTATCCTGGATCTCCACCAGAGAGCATGGATTCCAAATGGAAACTTATGTACATTGATATTGAACTTAAATGATGAGTTTCTATCGGAAAAAAATTTGAATCAGAGTTTGCAAAAAAAGAATTAGCATTTTCCTGAGTCCTACCGGAAAATGTTTCACATCTTTAATGATATGTCGTTTTCAAGAATGCTATCGAAACCTACATCAAATTTCATTTAAAAAAATTCATTCGTTCAGAAGTTGTGCGTTTTTCAATTCCTGGTGAAATTTTTTCGAAACGTCTCGAATATTAAAAACGTCATAACTTCTGAACGGATCAACTTTTTTAAATGAAATTTGAAATCTATCGATGAAATTTGATGTAGCTTTCGATGGCATTCTTGAAAACGACATATCATTAAAGATGTGAAACATTTTCTGATAGGACTCAGGAAAATGCTAATTTTTTTTGCAAACTCTGATTCAAATTTTTTTCCGATAGAAATTAATCATTTGAATTCAATATCAATGTACATAAGTTTTCATTTGGGGTCCATGCTCTCTGATGGAGATTTAGGATACTGGAAAATCCTGGTTACGCCACTAATCGAAACCATGAGAGGACGTTCTTATATCCATTTCTTCGCTCAATCCTTCTATGAAAATACTTTTGTCAGTTTTGTGAAGGTGATGAGTTATAAAATAATTTTATCTTATATAGTATTAAACATAAAACATGTTCAAAGTAGTTTTCCTCTATCAGTTGTTCAAGAATCATCGATCTCTCGCTATTCTTTTTGTTGAATTATTAACCTTAAATTCAATCCTTTTTCATTCTAGCATGGAAATTAATTTATTCTAAGATGTAATATATTTATTTCATCATTATTTTATATGTTTTTTTTTGTAAATTTACTTTGGTTTAGAACCATCAAGATGTTGTTGTGGATCATATTTAAGTACTAAATCTTTTGCTTCAGGATGTCGTTCGATATAAAATTTTTTAGCTTCTTCATAAGCTAAATGCATTTCTTCTTGATGTAATTTAACAACATCCATATTAGCTCCACATTTTGTATTATTATTAAAATGATCATAACCGTGAATAGGTTCACGACAAACATAACACATTGATGCACCACAAGCACATGTCATTTTATTACAACCTAATTAATTTAATAGAGAATAAATATTTTTTTGTTTTGTTTTCTATATACCTTCAAGTTTATAAAATCGTTGTTTACATTTATAACAAACTCGAATCATAGCTTCTGAAACACGATTTTCAATAAATGTTCTCATATCTAATTCATCTTTTTTTTCAACTTCATCACATCGTAATGGAATATGATTTGGTTCACCACAAGCACGACATGTTTCTTTTAAACATTCTTGATTTAAACATCGAAATACACGTTCATCAGGATCTTCGATAACTATAATATACAAATATATTGGATTTCTAGTATAATAAGAATATAGAAGTACGAATAAATTATAATAAACTTATGAGAAAACTTCTTAAGATGTCTTCTTTTGATTTCAATGACTTTTTGTCGATAGATAGTATAGATACACAATAAAATTTTTTAAGAAAAGGTCATAGAAAATATGGCTACTTCTTATTTTATTCAGAATTTTGCATTCTTTAAGAAGAGATCTTTAAAAAAAAAAAACTAATTGTTCAGGCTTTGTCTTCGAACACTATTGTCTTTAATTTTCTTCATCTAGTCTATCTATTGAATTTCACATATCATGAAATAGAAAAATCTAAAATAAGCTTTGATCTTATATATATACTCTTAATAGATAAGAATATTATCATACTTGTTCCAAATGTACAATATTTGCATTGTTCAAAATTAGGAATATTTGCTAAACGTAATTCTTCTTGTTGAATTTTAATAATTAATCGAGAAAAAAGTGTTGGTGCAAGTAATTGACTCATTAATGATGTTGAATATTCATATTTACATGTTGGATTTAAACATGTAAAAAAACATTCACCATTTGATATAAAACCATTTTCAATATAATTTCGTATACATGATCTATTTGAAGAATATATAAAATAAATTCGACATTGAAATTTAATCTCTAAATCGAATTCAAATTTACTTCATTAATCTACATTTTAAAAAAAAAACAAAAAGTCTTATATCTATAAGAATTAATAAAGTAAATTTGAATCTAACAAGAGAACTTCTTCAAATATTGAATTGATTTTCATTCGAAATGATGTTCATTTGATGAGTAATAGAAAAGTTTAGACATACTTTGATTTTGCTTTTTTTTTTAGGTCTTTGTTCTCGAGATACACTTTTCAAATAGAAAACTCTTAATGAAATTATTCCATTGAGCAAGTTATAAATTTTCTAACATCTTCAAAATTTCTTCATGTTTAAAAATAAATTCTATTCATATAATCAAATAATTTCATTAAGACTTTTTATTCGTGTAAAGTTTGACATTGATTCTTCATTTGACTTGATGGAAATCACAACTTTTTATTGAAGAATCTATCTCGTGAACGAAGATTTGAAATACTAAATCATTCTAAACTTTTCTCGTAAGTCGAACTTCTTATTAGAGCAAATAGAACAAAAGAAAATTGATTTTAACTTACTGACAAAATCGATGATTATTATCACAACTAATCATATCATCATCAAGTAATTGATCATCACAACAACAATCACATGTTTGTAATGTACCATTTTCTGTTGCAATACGAATTTGTTCATCACGAAATTCTTGTTTTCGTGTTAAATATTCTATAATTTTCAAAAAAAAAAGACAATGAAAATAGTAAAATTTACAGCAAGATTAAAAATATAAAGAAAAAAAAAATGTCAATAATGAAAAACGAAACTTATGAATCTAATTGAAGATCTTTTATATAATGAATAGTATCATCTTTATTTTCTCGTGTATAGAACATATTTCTTGATATTGATCGTATTATAGAATGTTCTTGACAAAATTGTACAAAATTATTTAATACATATGTTGGTGGTTGACGTGTACGTGTCATTAAATCAACTCCAGCATCTGTAAATAATGTAGAACTAAACATTGTTGCTATCCATTGATAAGGTTGATCAATAGGTGTTTCATTATCAACAAAAATAATACCAAATTCACTTGTAAATAATTTTAATAAACCATTTCCACGCCATTGAAAACGACTTGATTTATATTTTGATTGTGTATCAATACCTTGAACATTTGTTGGTACAAAACCAACAAATGGTCGTCGAGTATAATATTCAACAAGATCATTTAAACGAATACGTCCATCAGATAATTGATCATGAATTGAATATGTTATTGTTGGATTTAATTTATCTTTCCACATATTAAGATTTGTTGCAAGAATATGCCAAAAACCCAATGCACGATTTGGATTAAAATCATTAATACTTGAAGCATCAATATCTTCAGATGACATAATGAATCACACGAGGACAGTTTATTTGATAAAAAAAAGACTACTGAAGCATTTACTCGTGAATGAAAACTGATTGTAGAGAGTCGGGCAACGTGTATTTCACGCGTACTTTTTTTTTCTTTCGTTCTGTTTTTAAAGTCAATAGTATTGTCGCAAGAAAAAAAAAACATGCATGCCTAATGTCGACTAAAGCATACTCCTTGTTTTGTTTCATTGCTTACCTATAATTTCATCCTCATGTTTAATATAACACAATTCCTAATCAACAACAATACAAAAAGAAATTATTTAAAAAATGAAATAAATCATTTTACTTTATAGAAAATTTCATCGGGTACATCAGGAATTGCCATCAAAGCACGAGCTCGATGATTAAGTCGTTTAACAATAGCTAAATTAAAATAAAATAAGAATAAAAAAAAAATTTTTTTGTAAAGATTTTTAAATTACTATCATTTGATTTTTTATTTTGATTAGTATGATATGTATAAAATTCTTCTTGTAATTGTTTCATAGATGGTGCAAAACGATAATTATTATTATTTAATACTTGTTTTATATAATCAGTTGATATACGTGCAAATGCATTAGATAAATAAATATATGTATGATTTTTATATGATTCTGATACATTTTTTGTTCGATCATAAAAATATTCAAGTGGATTAGGAAATGTTTTAAGAAATTCATTAATTTCAAATTTTGGATTACGTAAATTTTCTTTTAATCTTTCATTACGTAAACGTTCTAATTTATCTGTTAATTTAATATAACCATGTTCAATAAGACTTGTTATTAATATATTTAAATCTGTATTATCTGATGATTTTTCACGATATTTCATATAACATTCTAATGCATAATCAGGATCAATATCAGGTAATATAGCAAGTAAACGATTATATTCATCTGGAATAAATACAATATCATCAATAATCATTTGATCATATGATCGTTTATTTGTTGAAGTTTTCATAACATTATATGAAAGTAATTCATTAACAATATCATCATACCAATTTGGATTATTAGTATTTTTAAAATTAATATAAAGATTTTCTATATGTTCACGTGGTATTTCATTAAATACATCATAGAGTGTTTGAAGTGTATCATCAGTAATTGTTGTTTGTTTAGATGTATGACTATTGGCTGAAGCTGTTTGTTCTTCGATTTGATTTTGAGTTTTTCTTGGATCAATTACTTGACCAAATGATAATATTTCAGTAGCAAAAATTGAGCATATAGCTTCAATAGATCTTGATTGACGAATATGCCATCCAATAAATTCAAGAGGAATTTGTATTTCAGGAAATATATCATGTAAACGATCACGAATTAAAATGATGGATGGATGCTAGAAAATAACAAATAGTTTTTGAAAATATTATAATTAGATGTTTAGTAGTTAAAAATAAAAAAGCTTATGAATTATATTTGTTAGACATTTACATAAACGAATGTTTCTCATTAAAAAAAAAAAAACTTATTAGAACCCGTCGGATTATTTTCAGGTTATATCCGTGTTTGAACATTTCGGATCCGTCAGACTCCAACTCTTATACTAATCATTTGATATATGAAAATTTTGAAGTGTATTTAAACATGAATTCGACCAGTTATTATTGATTTTAATCTTGATTAATGTTTAAGATTACAAGTCGAACATTTTTGAGCTCATATTACTATAAGATGATTAGTTTCATATTTGTAGATTGAAAGATGTATAGACTAAACTTGTTCTGAAACATCTCTACTGTAAATCTTAACTTTTTAGAAATTCAATCGGTGATATTATTTTCTGATTAGACATTTAGAAAAAGATACTAAAATTGTAAAAGATGAAATTATCTTACAATATTTGCATCCGTCATTATAAAACAATTTAAAGAAGTAGAGGATTGTCAATTGATTTGAAAACCTATAATAAAAACATGATCTGTTGTTTATATTTATATTCGCAAGTGTTCAACTAACTTGAGACTCAATATAGAATGGAATTACTTATCAGTTGAGCAATTTTATAGAATATTTCCAAATTGAAATGGTTACTACAATTGACAAATCAATGTTATACTAAAAAACTAGAAAAAAGATGGCAGACTGATACAGAAACAGAAAAAATATTTTTAACGGTTAGTTTAACATTTGTCATCTATTATTATTAATTAATATTCATATGATTTAATAAAATTTTGTTTATACATCTAGCGTTTTGGTTTCTGAATATTAATTAAATTTGAATAATAAAATTTTCCTGTTTTTTTTTGATAATGAATATTTCAAAAATATTTTCATCATCATAATACAAAAAGAAAAAATATAATAATTTGTTCATTCGTCGATAACTTATTCTGCGAACAAAAATTTCTTTCAATTTGATTTTTAAACTTCGAAAATTGTTAAAATGTTTTTTCAAAAAATCAAACATTAAATTGATTTAAAATCTATGAAATCTATTCAATGAATATGGAAGATTTTTGTTAAGATAAAATTTCGATATGCAAAACTGAAAAAAAAAACATTTTAACATAAACAATTATTTTGTGAAGCACAATCTAAAAGGAGTGTTAAACAATAGATGTAGGCATTTAGATACCACATAGTGATGACAGACATTCTTAACAGTGTCTCTCCTTTATCATCAACCTGGTAGACACAACTATAGGAATGTCATAGACTTCAGCAGATGTTGTTGACATGCCAGCACAGACTGTATACTAATAACATCTTATTATAATATATGAAATATCTGCTTATCACATTTTTCAAGGATTCACTAAAAGAATGGTAAAGAAATATATCCAAAAATAGATAGAGTAAAACAATCTTCTTATGATCAACAACAGCACCTATGTCGTGTTTCATATTATAATCCTGTTGAGAGTACGATAACAACTTTTTTATTTTTAAAATTAATTTAATTTTTTATTAAGAAAATGTAAGAATACTATTCTTTTTCATTAATCTGGAAATCATCTTTACTTTTGACGTAGACAAAGGTATTAGTCAAAACTTTAAAATTTCTCAAAATTGAAAGATTTTGTTTGAATATTCTATATATGAAAAATATCTATTGAAATGACAAGCTCAGGTAATCTTTTATTAATCACTTTCGATTCAAACAATAACATAAGCTATACTCTCAGACCTGTGTAACAAAAATGCTAAAAGAATAAGAAAACTCATAATTGATTATAAAATTACACATGCAGAATAGAACACGATGTCGTTCAATTCTAGTCGTTTTTTCTTTTGAGTATGTCAGAAATTTTTGAAAAAATAAAAATGGACCGTCAGATGCCACTCAATATTTTCTCTTGTTATATATTGTGTGGACCCAAAGCTACAAGAAAAAATTTGCCCTACAGAGAATAAATATTATAGTTAAATATTTTATAGTTTTAAGTGAATCAGAATTTAATTCAATAGAGAGACAACCCAAAAAAACTCCTAATGTCCATTTCAGAGATACATGACCGTGGGTATTTTTCGAATAAATTTTGATAGGAATGAGATAGAGATCCACGATTTTTACCGTTGGAAAGAGCAGATGAAAATGCATCGAACCATATATAAAAAGATTTTTCTAACGACTTTTCTGAAGGTTTTATGTAAATTTTCAAGAAAAACAGCATGCCTCTCATGATTACGATATTAATTTATGGACTTTCAGGAGTGTGCTAGAATCGCCAAGTGAAGAGCTACAAAAAACTATGAACAGGCTCTATTCCTAACTACTACCAATACGATATTCTAGCCATTGCAGTGCAATTCATCATCCAGTTTTTCAACAAAATAGTCGAAAAATGGAGATTTTTTGTGATATTTCGATAGAAAATCACTTTTTAACGTAAGAGAAAAACTCTTGACTAAAACGTTCAGGAAAGTCGTTAGAAAAATCTTTCTATATATAGTTCGATGCGTTTTCATCTGCTCTTTCCAACAGTGAAAATTGTGGATCTCTATCTCATTCCTATCAAAATTTATTCGAAAAATACCAACGATCATTTATCTCTGAAATGGACACTAGTTGTCAAACTTCGACATTCCTTTCTCATCACATACAGGATGTCCCTAAAGTCTACTGTAAAAGAAAATGTAGATATCTTTAAATTAGTTGAAGCAATTTATATTAGTATATTTGTTGAAGTTTCATTCTGTATATTTTCTGATAAGTGTCTATGAATAAAAATAATAGAATCTTAATACTTTTATTAATTGTCAAAATTAAATCTTGTATAGAGGTTAAATGAGAAATGTCAAAACGAGTTCAGCACATAAACATTAGACGTAGACAGCATTAGAGATATTTTTTCAACGCTCCAATGCAACTCTTACAGTAGAAAATCAACAGCAGTCTAACTAAAACTAATATTTATTATTCATTTAAAAAAAAACACAAAAATTTTTTTATTAATCGTTATTGTGACATATTACATTGGAAACTTTTTCGAGTACAAATACATATTTGTACTTATTTCGCTGTAAGAATTAGTTAAACTGATATGAAGTTATGAGTTCGTATAACGATTTGTTTCTCATGCCGTTTCAATTATTTTATGTTTTATAGCCATATCTATTAGATCTGTACTTGTTTTTTTTTGTAAGCAGTGTCAGTGAAAGATATCTAAAGTATTGAAACTATTTTCTTAAGATATATCGTAGATACATAAGTAAATATGTTTCTGTATGATACTGAGTTTGATCTTGCTTCATCAACGTAATTTATTCAGTAATATTGTATGAAGAAAAACAAATAGAACTTTGTATTAGAAACAATTATTGTAATAATAGGAATGAGAAAATAATTCAATAGGTTATAAGATAATGGCAACAAAATATTATTGTAATATTTGATTAATAACAAAAATAATATTTTGTTTTCATATTGTTGTCAAGTTGTTTCATCGTAGTAGAGTTCATCGGATCTGGGCCCAAAATTTTCTCTCAGTTGAATCCAGCGGACTCTGGTCAGCTAAGAACTTTGTAGAGTGCGCTAGTCATCGAATGCAAAATATTTCATATTTCAATTAGAAAATTTCATTGAGAGTATCAACATATAGTTCGATCAAGTTCAGATTTGACCGTCTTGATGTCATAGCTCTGTTGAAGGTAGAATTTCTGTATTTGATTTATCAATCACTACATATAAGTTTGGATTGAAGATAGCAATATTTACTATAATAAAGCGTGATATGAAAAAACACTACTTGAACCAAAATATATCGTATAGAAAGTTCAATTTTTTTTTGTCTAAGATTCATTAAAAGTTTTCAATGAAATATAGTATTTATTCCTTGAATTAAAAAGAGCAAATAACTCATTTCTATTGAAACCTTTGCCGAAGGTTAAAATTTATCAGATCTTTCTGATCGTATCAAATAAGTACTTTTGACATTGCTCTTAATGTCATAATATAGGTCAAAAAGACAATAAAAAATGATTGTATTTTAAGAAAAAAAAAAAAATTCATCGAATCAAACAATATTAGACCTCTGATCTCAAAATTCTTTACAGTTGTATCTTCTAATAATAATAATCTAATCTTGTTTTTGAGTGATTTATATGTATAGCATGTCTTCACATACAAGAAACATTTTAATATGCACGAAAAATTTTCTTAACAGTAAATGCAACTATTCTTAAGTACATATATAAATACTTGAAATATGATGTGGAATTAATCAAACCGCTAGTATAAAACTACATTCAATAAACATATGAAAAAAAAAAAAAAAGTTAAAATTTTACAATAGGACAAAAGATATTTTTATAATAAAATTCAAATGTAGAAAGAAATTTTTTTGTGAAATATGCCTGGATATATTCGATCCTTTTTTTTATTTATTATAAATGAAGATTTTCATTATAAAATTTAAGAACAAAAAACAATCTTTTCACACTTGAACAAAACGTTTCATTTGTTTTAAGGCTATACATTTTATATAAATTGATTGACACTGTTTGAATAATATTGTTTGGTTTTTTTTTTCTTTCATCAGGATGAAATAATGTACCATGTAAAAGAGCAAATATTTATTTAAGAAATGTTTTTCTTTTGGACACAAACATTCTATAGAGTTTATTTTATTAAAAGAAAACTTTTCTTTTATGTATAACTTGAATTTATATGTGAATTATAAGCAAAAACAAGGTATGTTGTTAATATAGAAATTCTTGTTTGTTTTTTTTTATTATATGAAAACGAAAGAATTAAACATTTTAGTTTATAAGTTATATATAAACAGTAAAAGTGTACAGAGTATTCTACAAGTTTAATCAGGAAAAAAGAAAAGAATGTCAAGAATTCTATAGTCATTGAAGTAATTTGTACTTTTATTTGACTTATTTCATATAGAATTATTGTTTCAAATGATCAACGTTAAAAAGAATATCGTAATACATTTTTCTTTTGTAAAAAACACAAAACATTTTTGTATAGAATTTCTTTTAAAATCATTCTCATTTTAATAAGATGTTTAATGAATATCTTGTATATGTCATATTTAACATTTAATTTATTGTTTATTCGATTCAAATGAAAATTATTTTTCTTTTTTTCTTAAGCCAAAGCCATTGAGTGTATTTTGTGTTTAATGTTATTAATAGAAAAACAATATTCTGTCGTCATTTTATCTATTGCTATTTACTAAATATAGAATAAACTTGTAAAATAAATTGAATAATTCATTTTGAATAGATTTCCATAAACATTCTACATTTGATCAATTTTTCTTCAGAAAATCTTTTCTATATGAGATCGAACTTTTATTTTAGTAATTTTCATGTAACTGTAATAAATGACGTAATTAGGTGTGTCTTCTTTTTTTTACAATAATTACTTTGCAGTTAAGATTTTATGATTATAAATAGCCCGAGTTGAGTCATTACTAACTTTATTGCAATAATGATTTTGATAATTATACATTTTTTTTTACTGAAAAATATTTTAATAAAACTTTGAAGAGATGTATAAATTCTTTAAACTTTTCAATAGTTAATTATATTTAATAAACATAAATATAACGATATAATTTTTCTTATATGATTCATATTTGTAAATGAAAATGTATGAATTTTTTCTCTGATTATATATTATCTATTCAAGATATGATTATTAAATGCATAGACATTCCTATCTTAAATTTCTATATTGAATAACCGACACGTTTATTTTCATTTTTTATCTTATCATTTTTGTTTATTTCAAATGAAAAAATATTCAATACAATAGAAATATTAGTTTCTAATAGTATATACATCATAGATGTTAAGCGTGCCACGTCATGCATCGATAAAAACGTCATATAGAGAAAAAAAAACGAAAGATAATATGAATAAAGGAGAAAAAAGAACAATATCCTTGGCTTGTGTGATTTGTACTTACGAATAAATAAAAGTACAGGTGAAAGAAAGAAAAAACGGTGTTTTAGTACCATATGAAAATAGATATAAACATAAAACATATGTTTATTATTTTTTTTAAATATTTTTAGACAAAATTTATGTAAATAAAAATTAAATTTTGTTTTAACTAATGAATAATTCAAATAATAGTAAGTGTATCTTTTAACTAATAAATATTGAGAATTTTTAACTTAGTATTTGTCTTTTCTATACGTTGTTACTTCTCATTTTTATGCACAATTAACATACGTTATTTCATGAGTCTCACCTTCTACAATTTGCGCAGTTAGATAGCTATCATGTATCAATATATATATATTTCTATGCTTGCTTACTTAGAAGCATACACGAATCTACCTTGATTCTATACACGAACAATTGTTGATAACGACGACATAAACATATAGACGTGGTATATAGCCCAGGAAATTATCATCGTTTTTCTCGTCGAATAAACATGAGCCAAAACGAATACAAAAATCGTATTGGTAAACGTAGGTAAATTATATTCCAATGAGAGTAACGAAGGGTGACAGCATACACGTTTGAATAGAAAAAAAAAGTGAAAATTGTCATGATTGATAACAAAAACGAGCAGATTGCAATGCATTATCTTGTTTCACAATCGTTCTATTTATTCATGCGTAAATAGTATAAAAAGCAATGATACAAAACATTTTGTTACTTCGCAAAGAAAATACTCAATACAGGATAGAAAAGCAATTGTATTAAGCCATTTACTATTGTTTATCATTACAATTCAACTGTAACAATTATTATTCTCATTTGAACTTGAACCATGTCACATGGTAAGTTATATTAAAAAAATACACCATGAATAAACGAAAAATATTAATTTATATAATTTTCTTGTATTCTAAATAAAGTTAAGTAATACGCTTACTTTCTTTTTTCATATATTTATTATGTTTTTACTGATTGATTTTACTATAAATATCTTAATAGAAGGGAATAATTAAGCTATACTTTATTATTCGTTGTATTTGGTTGAAATAAAGTATGACTGATAAACAAGTCCCATAAATTTTTTTTCCGACACATATAAAATTAAAAACATCACCTTGCTTATTTGCACAATATTCTTTCCTATTTTTACATAGAAATAGTGTTTACCGTGACAGTCTATGATTGACCGATAAGATAAAAAATAACCAACATGATAATTTTTTTTTTTTTATCAAAAAACCACATCAAAATAGTTTAATTAGAAAATAAATAACATTCAAGTACGCAAAAGTGGAAAAGGTTCATGAACTAATATACAGTACAATGATCTGATAATACACAAATATTATGTGATAGTGATACGCATACGCCTCATTCAATTTTGTTAGATTAATATCATATATTTTCGTTTAGATAATAATGAAAATAAAACTTTTCATAGCAATTTAATATCAACAGCGGATATTATTGATGAGCCATTATTTGTTGTTCTTGATGATGATGATGATGATGATTGGGATGAAGATGATAAATGTGAAATTGTCAATTTAGCAACAATAGCATCAACAACAACAACAACAATATTATCAGAAACAAATTCAAATAATACTTTATTAGATGAAAACAAAGAAAAAAAAATTTCAACGGAAGGTAATATTTTATTTTTAGAAAATTATAAAAACAAAATTATTTTCAGTTTCTTTCGATAAAGATTCAGGCGAACAATTACACATAGAAACTCAAGGTTTCATTGATTCTTTAGTGAGTGAATCTAAAAGTACACCAAAAATATTTCGTCATTCAAAAATTTCGAACAAATCAGCTAAATCAAATAGATCTATTCGAAATATGACTATTGATACAAATTTTATGCGACAAAAACCTCATCAACAACAAAGAACTAAATCTGTATCAAAACGTAAAAAAACGTCTACATCTAATGCAAGTGATAATCATAAAGATTTTTCTATTGATGATCATCCTATTGATTGCATTCTATCACATATTTCATTTGAATCATCTATTATATTAACTATCTCACGTATGGGTTCAATATATTATTGTGTTGAAGATCTTTATTTAAAAGTATTTGCATCATTATGTACATTTGATGAATTTATATATTTATTAGAAGGTATTGATAGAAATATTCTTAAAACAGTAACATTATCAGAAAAAATCTCTATTGAACAACAAAATTCACTTTTAAAAACATTTAATGGTACACGTTATCATCTCTTATCAATAAATTCATTCGATTATTTAACTAAAATAAAACAATTATTAAATAAATATGAAAAATCTATTGAAAATATCATTAACGAAATGTTTCCTAATAAACAAACATCAACATCTATTCCATTAAATAACAAAGGTAAGAAGAACAAAAAAAACAAAAAAGCAAATCTTTGTTTTTTTTTGTAATATATATTGTTTTCTAGTGTCACCATCATCAATATCGACAGAACGTATGGAAACTAATAATAATGACAAACAATGTCAAAATTTAATAATTTCCTCAAAAACAGAACAATTAAATGAACCATGCCAATTTGGAAATATTATTACATATAATAGTTCTGATAATTGTAATAGAACTTCAACAAATGAAACATCATCAATATCTATTTCAAATATAGATTCAAATATAATATCAAAACCTACATTAATGGAACAAGACAATAATAATGATAATAAATTACAATCAGAAAAAAATTCGAATAATAAGTATGTTGGTTCTTTTTCATTTTTTTTTTATAATAAGGCTATTTAAAAAAGAATAATATTTTTATATAAACTTCATTAGCATACTACTGACAACAATCAGAAAAGAATAAAGTTTTCATTCCAATTTATTGAAACAATCTTATCATGTCTTAAGCATAAAATTTCTATAATAATAATGATTAATTCTATGTTCCAAAGTTATCTTTTGTTTTTTTGGGTTTTGTTATAAATTTTATATGACTATATCAGATGAATATTTTCTTTCTCTTTGAATAGAAATTTTACTTATTATGAAGCAAAAACAAAAAACATTCGTCTCTGAAGGATATTTTAAAGTTTGATAGTAAATAATCATAGTTTTTTTTTCTACGATAGAGTAGATATTTTCGAAATAAGATATTAGGAAAAAAAAAACAATATTGAAATTTTATTTTTATATGATACTCTATAAAATTGAATATTTATAGATTTCAATATCCGAAGAAAAAAAAAAAAAAATTAAAATTTCGTAGGACAAAATTGAATTTAATTCAAAAACAAAAAAAAACAAATTTATTATTTTTTTCTCTTTCAAAGATAATTTTTCAATACTATTTAAAACTTTCAAATTATTCAGGTCATGTTCACTATAACTTCTAAGTTTTCTCATTATGCTTTTATTTTCACAATTTCATATGAAGTATTTTTTTTTTTTTCGTTGTGTATTGCACGTATTGCCTCTGATTAACGACGTAGATTTAATATTCGAAAATGAAATAAGTAGGTCATTTGATGAATTAATGTCAATAATCAACATGTTGTAATTCTATATATATATTTTTGTAAGAAAAATTTCATACAATATTGTATATTATAGAAAAAGACTCATATTTCAAAGAAAAAACTATAGATAATGAGAATCTATATAGAAATAGCTGTTAGTACAATCTTTACAAGATTAAAAATATAAAACACAATGTTATTGATATTAGTACGCTCTATGGTTGTATATGAAAACTATCTGTCTCGGATGGATTCATAGACTTCAATACTTTTTTAAGATCGTGTGTAAAACATAAAAATAAATCATCAAATTTTTTTCTAATACTAATTTGTTACTGTTATCATTGTCTTTTTTTTGTTGACATATTTAGGTTGAAGATAATCTTGTTCTTCTATTTTTTTTTTTATTTTTTGTTAATTTTTAATTTTCTATATTTAGTTTAATAGAACGTTCACGTAAGAAATCTGGAAAATATTTATCTTCATCAAGTCCGAATACTTCATTAAAACGACGTATTCTTAATTCATTTAATACTCCAACAAATCATTCATCTATATCAAAAGATTCATTTACAATATTACCAACAACAAATTTATTACGTCGTATACATCGTTCAAAATCTTTTACACCTAATAAACATCAAATTAAAAGATTTTGTTCACGTTCATGTAGTTTACCATCAATTGAAAATCATATAGAAGATAATATTATGTTAAAACCTTTAATAACAATAAAAAAATCAAATGATTTAATTGATGATTATTATAAAATGCCATCAATTGTTAATGTTGAAGAAAATGTTCAAATTAATAATCAAAATATTACAAGTAAGATTAATTTTATTTGAATAAATATATCATGTCTAATGGAAATAAACTAAAATAAGAAAGTGTTAAGCTTATAAGTTAAAGATTAATAATTTCTTTGTATTTTTATAAAAAAAAAAAAGAAAAACAAAAAGTAATCAAAGAAAATTTTATTTACTTGAGTTGAAAAATCTATGCAATAAAAATTCAATTGAAATTTTCATTTGCTCATTTATTTTCTAAGATAGATGAGACAAATCTTTTCATCCTCAAGTTCTCCAAGTGAATATACTGATTTTATGGTACCCTGTTACAAATATGTCACAGGAACCTTTAAGTAGATCAGTGCTTCTACGATAAAATAATCCCTAGCAGTATATTCAACGAAAATTCTGTGACATACTGGTACCATGTTGACAACTGACTCATAGAGTCCGACATGGGATCAAAAAAATTTTTTTGTTAAAAATTTTGTCTTAAAATATCAACTATTTTGAGTAGTAGGACTATAATACCTTATAGGAGACTTGAAAAACGAGTGTTGAAGGATAATTTGACGGACAAGAAGATGTTGAAGATGAAGTATGACCTAGTAGATCTGTGATTTTGATCATATCTTTCATGATCATTCTCAAGATCACTAGTTATGCTCTACAACTAGCAGTAATCTTTTTAAGCTATACAATGATCGAAGATGATTAATAAGAGAATGGATCTATTCGATCTTTTCGAATATTCTCAGATATAAAGCCTGATCACGAAAAATAATACTACCTACAGTATATACAAATAAAATTTTTTCGAGCGTTTTCTGATATGTTATGATGCTATGACCACTATTTTTATCAATGCTCTAAGTATATTTTCTAAAAAAAAAAAACAAATATTATTTTTAGTTTATGAAAAACCTCTAGCAATTTCTCAACAATCATCAATAAATAATACTATGTCTCCAGTATTAAAGAAGAAATCTACTCAATCTGTTTATCCTCAATCAATTCAATCTACACCTTATCATCTAACACCAATACCATATGATGCTCATCATCAAAAATCTTTTCCATCTCCATCATCATCATCATCGGATGAAAAATCAAAAGAATTACTTTCTCATCATCGTCCTATACAACCAAAATTAATATCATCCTCAAATAATAATCCTTCTCAAACAAATTTTAATTCGTCTTCTTCTGCTATTTTACAATTCTTACAAAAACGAATTAAGAAAAATAATAATAATAATAATAATAATATTGTTAATAATAATAATAACAATGTATTAATACCCGAAAAACAAACAGTACCAATACCATGCTGTTCACCTTGTTGTTATGGTCAATTACCAAACAATGGTAAATCTTGTATATCAAAAAATAGTTCTTCAAATGAACGAATGATTCTTCCAAAATATACAGTTTTACCTTCATTAAAATGTAATCCTACACAAGAATTAAAAAATTCAAATTCATCATTATCTAATAATCGTAAACAACGTCGACTTCAATCAAATCCATATCCATCACCAAAAGATTTTTTTTCTCAACCATCTATTCCATTTAATTATTGTCAAAATTCATTAACAAATGAAATCAAACATAAAACAAATGTTTATCATACAATAACACCAACTAGTGTACAAAATTCTTCTACAGTAATAAGTCCACCAAATACACCCAATGAATTAACATTACCAAATATATTTGTTGGAAGTATTGATATATCACATGCTATTATTGAACATGGTTCTATTGATATGGATAAAATACCTAAACTTGTTGTACGACATACAAAAACATATATAAATAAAAAAATTGATACTATGGGACAATTATTTCCAACATGGTTTAATGAACCAGATTATCGTTGTATACATTGTTTTACTTGTGATCAAGTATTTACACCACAACAATTTATGACACATGTTGATGATGAACAAATGGTAAAAATACAACCAATAAATATGACATCCATACAATTATTAACATCAGAAAAATTATCAGAATATAAAGTTGGATTGTAAGTTTGATATATTAGGTTATCTATTGATTATTATTTATATGGTTTTCTTTTTGTAGATGGAATGATTTTTGTACAAATTTAGCTAATTATGCAAGGTAAATCGAATAAAACTAGTAAATATATATATGTGTATAATTTTTTTTGTAAAATTCAATTATTCAGTAAATTGGCTGAATTAGGAAAACAGAAATATACCAGAAAAGCACCGAAGGTATTCAAATGAGACAGATAAAATTATTGCTATTCATACAAACTACTAAAAAGACTAATTTTGGTATTTGCGATTCGATATAGAAATTCCATTAAAGCTTACTGAGAATTCATTCGGAAACACGAATTAATAAACCTCTATTTTATATTCTTGGTATTTTTGTTCAGTTAACTATAAACATATATCTCTTTTAGAAATATTGTCTTAATTTTATACATATAATTTAATTTATTTGTTTTTATTTTCTAGGAAGGGTCGAATAATAGGATTCTCGACAAACAGAAACTTATAAAGAAAAAAACTCAAAGAAAAACATGTCCAACATTACTTGAATCTATACAGCCGGTAAATCTTGTAAAGAACTCATATAGTTTTGTGGGAAACACGTATAATTAAATGCATCATGATTTTATTTTATTTTTTATTTTTTATTGTAAATCCTTGTGAAATCTATCAAAGAGAAAAACGCATTTAGTCATAGAGTATTTGGACAGAATTTCATTGGATTCAAACATGTTGTTGTTGGTAGTTTTTCTTTTGTTTTTTTTAATTTCTTTTGTTGAAAAATATTCGTCGTTCAGTAAAATTAATTCCTAAAAACGTTCATTGTTGATCTCTTGTTATAATAAGATAATTCACGCAAAGAGAAGGAAAAGAAGTCGGGAATTATTTTTAATAATGTTTTATAATATTATAATTAAAATTGATGAACTTCTTTGTCTTTTTTAATTAAGCTAATGTTCTCAAAAAACATAAAATGCCGACAATTTAGTTCATCAAGTAATAAAACAATTCTCTATTCTTATTATTACGTTATCTAATCCATGTATATTTTTTCCCACAAGTTGGTTCAGAATTCCTTCGTTTTCACATGTGTAATGTTGTTGAACATGTTCAAAACATAACGTTTGAAATTATCATCAACTTTTCCTTTTCCTTTATTTGTTTTCAATTAAAACAACATAGAAATCGATGTACATAACTATTTTTAATTTAAATACTAGGTGTTATTAGCAGGCTGAAAACACTAGCGACTCGTCAGGTTCTGACGAATAAGCCAATCAGGTTTTGCCAACAAAGCATAGCGAGTCGCTAGTGTTCACAACCCAATAATACTAGCTGCTATGCACATTGTCAAACATGTTTTTTCATCCAATCTCGATCCTCTATTGAAACCGAGATCATCTCACTCATACGTATTGAGAAGACATAGGTTGTAACAGTATAACATTCAACGCCAATATTATACAACGATAAGAGGTATTGTTACTAATGGGAAAATGTGGGTCCTGGGCCAATGAAGACCAAGTATGGAATTATCTTGCTCACATTTAGCTTTGTATGATGATTTTTCTAACCTTGAACTGCATCTTGATCACTTGAGTGAAGATTTGTGAAATTACTGCAGACAATAAATGAAACAGAGACTTAGAAAACTTTTAGAAAATATCTTGTAGTGAATTCCATAAGCTATCAGCTAATAAAAATTTTGTATTGCCTTGTTCTATATCTGAAACAGATGAGTTACAAAATGGATAAGTTTGAGAAAACTAGAGAAGATACATAATTGAAACGTACTGTTTCATATACAATGATGTTCATTTCTACTCTTCATATCAATAGCTTTGGAAAGTTCCACAAAAGATCATTAGACCAATGATCATAAGATACAAATTGGTCATTAGAGGGTTTCTAGAAAATCAAACCTCTGGTTCTTCAGTGCCTGCAGCTTGGTCATAAAATCTCTTCTCACTACAGATGATAAAGCGAACAATTCTCTACAAAATGGAACGTGTCCTACCTCTATGGGATGTTTCTTGGTCGAAATACATCAAATTTGTGCAAAGTCTCCATCAGAATTTTTGTCACATTGGTGTTTGCCGAATGAACATTGGAATGGCCAAACTGCCGTCACAAACAAGAGTGTATCTGATCAATCTATTGATATAATTGACATATTGGAGACACCAATACTTCATACCAATGGTTGTTTCAATTTGATGGAAAAAAAACTCGACAAAATAAAATTTTGACATCATGAATCGAACTAAATGGTAACACAATGAGAGGAGATCTTTTGAGATTTGATTTTTCGGAATTTTTACTATTCGAAATTTCATGCTATTCGCCATTTTCTATTTTGAGATTTCACTTTTTCGCCAATTTAGAATTTGAGATTTCTACAATAAGTCATTGTTTCATTTCAATGGCTGGTGCAAGAATTAATTAAAACTTGATCGAAATTCACAATGTTCCTGTCGTCTACAAATAACTTACTTCGTTGACTATACTAAATCTTGTGCAAAGTATTCATTACTAATACATTTGTTTTAATAAATATGAATAATTATTATTTGACTCAGATCACTAACGTATTAGGAACATTTATTAAAGGTTTCATGCATTTGATATTCTTGTCAAAAATGTAATAATTGAAACGATCTATTGCTTTCTCATTGAATACATACTCTAAGTTTTTAGTAATTTACTAACATAATTTGAATATTTGAAATGTCTTTGTATTACTCGTTCTCATGTGATATTAAAAAGAAAGAAAACTTAACACTGAAAATTGAATCTTTTTTATTGTATAATTCTCCTAATCAAGTCGATCTAAATCAAGAACATGATTGCATTATCAATTTGTTTTTATACTCTATTGTATGCTTTTTATGTGGACAAAATACAGTTGAAATCTTACAATGATTTAATTTTAGACGCATAAATAATATCCAACTTCGATTCGAGGGTTGCATTATATAAATGAATATCTATAAGACTCACTGATTTGAAATCAGTTATAGATCATGATGCGGAAAGAATCGGAGCAAATCATAGAAAAAAACACATTATACAAAAGGCGATACATTTCCAAGTGAAATCTACACTCCATCGGAAGCAACAAAGTTCAGTTTGAATTTGTACATAATTATGGTCAACTGTCGTATACAAGTACAATCAGATTTCAGAATTTTGAGTGAAAGATAAGGATAGTCTGATCGTCTTAGCTCGTTATGCAATGATAAGATGGCGTGCAAACCTGAAAATTTAATAGAATCCAATTCAAATTAATTCATTTTGACTATCGAGAGTGTTTGTTATAAATGATAACGAATACGATATACATGATTCGAGAGTGTTCTCACCGTGCTATGTTTTAATGCATTCGCTATGCCGTGTGTTTTTATTTCTTAGTTGAAATACTGGTACAGAGAATTCAAAGCGGTTAAGGTTTGCATGAAATCAAAAATAATATTGAAACTATAGAATTTATTAGATTTTTTTCTTTTGAGTTTTGATCTTCTATTAACGGATTCTACTAAAGATGACGTCTCGATGCTATGTCGATGTTTCGAAAGAAAAATCGCCAACGATAAATTCTGATAATAGTGTTCTAATGAAAATCTTCATTGTATATACGCATGATGCTTTCATGAATTTTCGACACCGTGTTTCAATTTCTAATGACGGAGATATACAAGGTGTGTATGTAAAGAGAAGTCATTTATAAGTACATCCACTTTCACATCTTCTTCGATAGTGTTATGATGAGATATACATGATCTATTCCGGATGGAATAGTGATGGCGAAAGGCAGTGCAATACTCGGAAACTTCTACTATGTTTGCACGATTCCTATCGTCTTTACTGTAAGTCAGGCCTACATTTATTGCCCTACCCGCCCGGTATTGTCCTCTCTGCTTGTACCAGAGCGTGAAACATATGAGAAAATCTTCAATCTATTCGATTCGATTTACTGTTTTAAAATCCCAATTCGATTCGGTGCGATTTTCACTAAGAATAGAAAAAATGCTACTGCTTTCGTACACCATATCTGACACACATGTTCTGCTTGTTTGTTCGTCAGATATCTATTCTACTGTTTTCTCAACTTAGATATACGTGGTATTTCCATATATATTTTACGATCATTTAGTTCTGTAATACCATTTGTGTGTAGGAAAGCAGATTTTAGAGAACAAAGTTGCTCGTAAAACTTCTGTGCCAATCGTTCCTAGAAATAAGACTGTACTTAATTCTTGAACAGTCGAAATTTCACAACATGAGTGTATGTCGCAAAATTGAACTAGCAAGAACCAACCGCTACGAAAATTAACCAAAACATTTTACAATAAAATCATAGAAGATGGTTTTCTTTACAATCCTTCATTCAAGAGCGATAACCAAAACATTTCAAAAAAGAATAAATGAGTAAGCATAATTAAACAGTATTGATATGAACAGATAAACATACCACTTTACTTATACATGTCTATCATTAAGAATGAATATACTATTTCTATTATGAAATTTATTAAGAAAAAAACTCTCTATACAGCTGTCAATAAATATGGATCAAGAGTATTTAATTTATCGAAGAATCATTAGATTATATCATACATATTCGTTATTTGATTACACGTTCATAGTTAACGAATGCGTTTACAACAATTAGAGGAAGTTAATTACAACTTCTAAATTGGTGTTGTGTTCTCTTGTATGTATTGTTCATCCAAACCAATCATCAGTAGCGTGTCACATTATTATAAGATCGAACGAAAAGAAAAGCCGAATGAGGCGTCGCAAATTTGATTCGATTTGGCTCGACTGAAGAAATTCTCTATTCGATTCTATTCGAATCATTCGTCTATTCAATTCGGTTTCGCGTTCTGGCTTGTACGTGCCCTTCAGGCTCAGAGACGATTTTCTTGATCGCGCGCAATAGTGAATAGATAAAGCTGCAGAGGGTAAATAGTAATCACAACCAATTTATTGAGAAAGAAAGGAATGAAGAAAGTTCACAGATTTTTTCCAGAGAGACTCTCTAGCATACTGGGGGTGAGAGCAGTCAGTTGTGGGTGTGGATGTGACTCTTTTCAGCTGTTTT